CTGCGGCCCGACGACGTCATCTACACAACGCTGCCGCTCTACCACTCGGCCGGGCTGCTCATCGGGCTGGGAGGGTGCCTCGAGGTTGGTACGTGCCCTCCATGCCCCCCGTGCCCCACGTGACTTGGTCAGTGTAGGGAGGGGGTGTAGGCAAGGGCAGGCAGAGAGAGGTGGTGGAGATGGATGGAGAGATGGATGGATGGATGGATGGATGGATGGGTGGATGGGTGGGAGAAGCCAATGGAGATGGTTGAAATATTGAGTAGATGGTTGGGTGGATGGATGGGTGGATGGATGGGTGGATGGATGGAGAGAAGCCAAGGGAGATGGTTGGATGGATGGATGGATGGATGGACGGAGAGAAGGATGGATGGATGGAGAGATGGACGGACAGATGAAATGCGTGGGGAGAAGGAAAAGGAAGAAGGGAGAGGGGGAAGCTGTGTCCATAGATGGGTGAGGGATGGAGATGGATGGGTGGACATTTTAGATGGATGGATGGACAGATGGTTTATGGATCTGGATGGTTTATGGAGCTGGAAGGAGATGGACAAATGTTTTATGGAGATGGACAGATGGTTTATTGAGATGGACAGATGGACGTGTTATGGAGATGGATGGAGGGATGGATGGAGAAAAAAAAAAAAGAGAGAACAGAAGAGGGGTAACCACCACCCCATCGTGTCCTCTCAGGAGCCACCTGCGTCCTACGGGCCAAGTTCTCCGCCTCCCAGTTCTGGGACGACTGCCGCCGCTACAATGTCTCCGTCATCCAGTACGTGGGCGAGCTGATGCGCTACCTCTGCAACACGCCCAAGGTCAGGTCCCCACCAGCCTGAGGTCCCCCCTGGGGCAGGGTGGGAAGGTGACACCACGGGGCGCACCCTGAGGCCGCCCCTTCCTCCATCACCCCCCAGCGCGCCAACGACCGGGAACACGGGGTGCGCTTGGCCATAGGCAACGGCCTGCGGGCGGAGGTGTGGAAGGAGTTTCTCCAGCGCTTCGGCCCCATCACCATCCGGGAGTTCTACGGGGCCACCGAGGGCAACGCCGGCTTCATCAACTACACCGGCAAGATCGGGGCCGTGGGCAGAGCCAACGTGTTCCTCAAGGTGATGATGAGGGTGAGGGGTGGGGGGAAGCGAACGCCGACCACCTCAGGGAGACCAATACCGCACCTCAAGTTGGGTTGAGGCCAAGAGTGGGGCATCTCCAGGACAACCTCTTCCTGGTGGTGCAAGCGGTGACCTCCTCGGGGAAGCCAACGCTGGCCCATCGGGTTGGGTTGGTATCAACGCAGGATCTCCAGGACCAACCCCCCCCCGTTTCACATCCAAAAGGAATTCCCTCCACTTGGTTGGCCAACGTTGACTCAATAGCGTTGACTCAAAAGTCCAGAGTGGCCGTGGTGACCCGGCCATCTCTGTAGCCCCGATGACTTTGGTGTCACTTTTCCAGCCCCGGCCACCCACGCGTTGAACAAACGCTGAAGATCAGGTTTTCTCCACCCTTCTCCCCCCGCTGCAGCGCTCAGTGTCCTCCCACAGCTCTTCCAGTCGAAAGATGACGATGAGTTGGGTCAACGGTTGGATCTACCCGATTAAATCTTGATTAAATCCAATGGGCAATGAGCTTGGATGGAAAACCCAAGGAAGGGACTACCCAAGATGTTGGGATCTGAGGGGTTGGTGCGTTTCTGTGGGTTGTAATGAGCGAGTAACGGCGGATCGGACCTGGCACCGGAAGGAAAGTCTTCTTCTCGCTCTCCTTCGTCCTCCGTTCCTCTTCCACCCACCCATTTCTCTCTTTGTCTTTCGCCCCTCCAGATTTTCGCTCCTTTTGAGTTGATCAAGTACAACGTGGAGGAGGACGAACCCGTACGGGACAAGCGAGGTCTCTGCATCCCAGTCTGCCCCGGTAAGAGATGAGCTTCATGAAGGTCTTTTTGGGAGGGAAGGGGGCAGACGGAGGGTTGAGACACACCAAAGCCACCTCTCGGTCCTTATCACCATCATCTCGGGGGCTGGAAGCCATCGCGAACCCCTCAAAGAAACCACGACGTTATCCCCAAGCACCCGGCGGGACACCAAGGTGGGACACGGAGCACCGAGGCGGTTGCTGACCAGCCTCCAACCCTCTTCTTCCTCCCTGAAGGTGAGACAGGGCTGCTGGTCATCAAAATCACCAAGAACACCCCTTTCCACGGCTACGCGGGCGATTCCCAGAAGACAGAGAAGAAGGTCTTGAGGGACGTCTTGGTCAAAGGCGATACCTTCTTCAACAGCGGTGACCTCCTCATGATTGACCGTGAAAGATTCATCTACTTCCAGGATCGAGTAGGAGACACGTTTCGGTAACTCTGATGCCCTCACCTCCACGTCTGCGTGGGCGATGCCACCTGCCAGCCCAAATCCCACCCCTCACAGCTTCATCCTTTCTTCTTCCCTAGTTGGAAAGGTGAGAATGTGGCCACGACAGAGGTGGAGGCCACTCTCGCCATGGTGAACTTCATCGAGGAGGTCAATGTCTATGGAGTGTCTGTGCCGGGTGAGTACTGGGTGGTGCAGCAGGGAGTGAGTGGGACCAAAAGAAGCATCTACTGATGTTCCAGCCATGGGACGTGTCCCCAGATGGGCTGAGCGACCGACCACCCAGAAGCCTGAAGTAGAACAGAAGGGACCTACGACGACCATCTTGTCCCACTTCCGTGCCAACCAAGTAGGGCTCATTGACCCAAAAGAAGAGTCCGGGATTGTTTTGGGTTCATGATTACTGCCACAATGGTCCAAAAAGCCACCAGAAAGAGGAAAACACCACTGGGTTGCCCAAAAGAAGCATCCAGTGGTGTTTGGGGCAAGTGATACGTCCACGTAACGGTCCAACTGACCACCAAGAAGGCTCAAACAGGACTTACTGACCCAAAATAAGTTTCTGGCACGGCTTTGGCACACAACATCCTCCTGAAAAGGTCCGAGTGGCCACCAGGAAGGTTAAAGAGGGACTTGGTCGCCAAAATCAATTGTTCTGGGCACGCAACACGTCCCTGTGGTGGTCCAAGTAACCACCGAGAAAAGTGTAATGGGACTCAGTTGCCCAAAAGAAGCATCTGGTGGTGCTCTGGGCAACTGGTATGTCTCCGTGATGGTCCAAGTGGCCACCAGGAAGAGTAACAGGGGACTCGGTCGCCCAAAATAAATGTCGTCTTGTTGTTTTGGGCACATAGCGTGCCCCCACGATGGTCCAAGTGGCCACAAAGGAGGCTGGAACGGGAAACATTCCCCCAAAAGACGCCTCCAGCGTCGTTCCGGGTGCAGGACGTGCCTCCATCACGGTCCCAGTGGCCACCACAGCAGCTGAGGTGGGACACGTCCACCCAAAATAAGCGTCCGATGTTGTTCCGGGCACCCAGTGGGTCTCCATAACGGTCCAAGTGGCCACCAAGAAGAAGAAGATGAGATTCGGTTGCCCGAAATAACCCGTTGGGTGCCGCCCGCAGGTTGCGAGGGGCGATGTGGCATGGCCGCCATCCGCCTGAAGGCCGAGGCCACCTTCGACGGCGATGCCCTCTACGCCTTCGCCAGGGAGACGCTGCCCAGCTACGCTGCCCCCGGCTTCGTGCGCATCCAGGTCAGCGGTCCCGCCTTCGCTCGGGCGTCGGGGCGGCTCCTCGGTTTGCCCATGACGTCACGGTGCCAGGGGCCCTCGTTACTGGTGCCCGTTGGTCACCCTGCGCCAACGGGTGGTCAACCCCCGCCAACAGGTGGTCATCCCACGCCAACAGGTGGTCACCTCGCACCAATGGGTGGTCACCCTGTGCCAATGGGTGGTCACCCCACGCCAATGGGTGGT